AACCAACCAACCAACCAACCAACCAACCAACCAACCAACCAACCAACCAACCAACCCTAAAATCAAAGTAGACAGTTGTTCTTGAGGAATAATAATTGAGGTTGATTTCTGGCCTTTGGGTACACACACACACACACACACACACACACACACACACACACACACCACGCACTCACAGGCAGAAGGAAATATAAACAAAAGCCCTCATGCCTGAGATGAGGAGACTAGAGGCAACTCTATGTTTCTCCAGTTTTTCAGGCTACCATAATCTGTGAGCCCAGTGAAACCTGGCTTAAGACCAGGACACTGGCATTCTTCTGGCTCCCTGTACAGACTGACACATAGAGAAGGGGGACTGAGTGGGTGGATCCTGAATGGAGGGCCTGGGGTTGGAGCTGCAGCCTCTGCTGCAGGTAGTTGTGCCATGGAGGGAAGAGCTCTTTGGCAGTCACGTAGCCATCTATCCTCTGAGCCCTAAATGAACACCAATGCACAGCACAGTACCTTGTTCCAGACCCACTGGAGTCAGGGGACCTGATTCATTGCTGGGCAGTGGTAGTTCAGCCACACACCCCAGCTGCTTGGTTCCCAGACTAGGCCTCATGTCCCACTGTAGCTCTAGTTCTCAGCATCCAGTTGAGCTCTGCTGGGCCCAGACATGCTAGACCTAACAAAGTCCCTCCCTTTCTCAGTCATGCAACGAGGTGAGCCACTTGACCTGGCAAGTTCACCATGTCACTTGTAGACTCTGTGAGAGTTGTGGGTAGAATGCTCTCTCAGTCTGGGGACTGCTGAAGGTGTGACTGTTTCACCTCTTGGCCTTCTCAGGTACCCCAACAGGAAGGAGCCCAAGAAATGACAAAGATGACATTTATAGGTGCAGTAGCTACTGCCAACATGTCGTATGTTGACTGTTTGGCACTGTCCTGTAGACACCATGTTGAGAACTCTGCTTTAGCAGGGAGGGCCTAGTACTTGTCTAACTTCCAAGATGGGAACACTGTCTTATTGCCAGATCTGAAGTGCATGACAGCTTCTCTGAGAGCCCACCCCAGAGGAAGGGCTGCTACAAGATGGAAAACTGATTTCTGTAACATGTCTCTGGTAGAGGCTGGTGTCCAGCACCAGCAATGGTCGATTCAGGGCATACTATTCTGTCCCTCCCTTTGCACTCCTGGCGTGTGACTGGCAGAGGTCGTCTTTGGCTAGCAACAACCCTGGCCAATAAGTGAACCACTGAGGCTCTCCGTGAATGAGTCAAATATCTGTGTTAATGGTGCTGAGTACATAGCTTTGCACAGGGAAATCCATTTTTGAATGTGCCCTGAGACATCAGGTGAAGGCTTTATGCCCCTGTACTGTGCAGACTGTGGCAGAGTACTGGCACCCAGGGAGAAGAGACTGGGGGTACTGGAAAGTACCCTCAGTGCACAGGCATTCCCATGACAAAAAGGACCCAGACCCAGAGTCAAGATTGCCAGTTTTTGATAAGACCAGATGCCAAGTACAAGTTACTTCTTTTCACCATCCAAGGACAAGCCTCTAGGCTGAGTCAGAGAGAGTGAGCAGTAGCGAGTATCCTGGGGCTTCTACCACTATTTGTCTTCCAGTAAGACCTTGCTGGGGGACAGAAGTACCATTGCTTAAAAGCTGTTCCCAAACTAGCATTTTGGACACACCAAAGTAAACGACTACAACACAGAAAGCATTTAGAACAATGTCCCACACTGCACAATGTTCAATGGCTATTACACTCTGTTATTATTCAACATTCTCAAATTATGGTGCACTCTGCCCAGTCTCTGTGACTTAGCACTCTCTGTTCCTTCTATCCTGGAGGGTGATTTTCTTCCTTCTGTTGCTTGGGGAACTTCCTCATCACCTCCCATTCTCCTCTGGAATGGGAGGGCTATGCTTTCTATCGCATGACCCCTCAGAAGCTAGCCCTGAAGTTTTCTATACCAGACTGCTCCTGGGAAGGAACTAAAACCAGTGTCCTGGGTTCAGGGGTCCCCAAGACACAGGCCATAGCTGGAACACAAGGGGAGTGTGCAGAAAGGTTTGAGGGAGCAACAGTTCCTCCCTCTTTATCTCCATAAACACATGGAGGGTAGGACATGTCCATCCAGGCTCTCCCTTGTGTGGCTGGCTGGCTCAGGCCTTGGCCTTGACTTCCAGAGGCATCAGATACCCTCTTTATACATTCCTGTGGCCCACTGATGAGCTGTGATCCATCAGTGACCATAGACCTGGCTTTGGCACATAGGTGAGACTGGATTCCAGGCTATAACTTTACCTGTTTAACCATCCCCTTCAACACCACTCATCACGGGCACTGATGCCATAACAGGATGCATTGTCTGCTGCATGCCAATGGGCATAGTCTTGGGAGCCATGCCACCTTTTCAGGAAACCTTCCAAACCTCAGATTCAGTCAGGGGCCTTGCTGTGAGATGTTACAACACCATATACCTTCCTGTTCAGCATTAATATGTGTAAACATGAGGACACCTACACATGGTCTGTCTTCACACCTACTGCAGGCTAACCAAGTGTCCCTACACTCACACAAACAAACAGATCTCCAGGTCCCTCAGCCTTTAAAGAGATCAAGTTACAATGAGATTGTTTTTTTTAAAATTTTTTTATTGATATTTATTGAGCTCTACATTTTTCTCTGCTCCCCTCCCTGCCTCTCCCCTCCCCTCTTCAACCCTCTCCCAAGGTCCCCATGCTCCCAATTTACTCAGGAGATCTTGTCTTTTTAGACTTTCTACTTCCCATGTAGATTAGATCTATGTAAGTCTCTCTTAGTATCCTCATTGTTGTCTAAGTTCTCTGGGATTGTGGTTTGTAGGTTGGCTTTCTTTGCTTTATGTTTAAAAACCACCTATGAGTGAGTACATGTGATAATTGTCTTTCTGCGTCTGGGTTACTTCACTCAAAATAATGTTTTCTAGCTCCATCCATTTTCCTGCAAAATTCAAGATGTCATTTTTTTTTTTCTGCTGTGTAGTACTCCACTGTGTAAATGTATCACATTTTCCTTATCCATTCTTTGGTCGAGGGGCATTTAGGTTGTTTCCAGGTTCTGGCTATGATAAATAAAGCTGCTATGAACATAGCTGAGCACATGTCCTTGTGGCACAATTGAGCATCCTTTGGACATATACCCCAAAGTGCTATTACTTACAATGAGATTGTTAATGATAAGTTCTAATAAACTGGTGTCTACACAAGATTAAGACAGATACAGAGAAATGGCTATGCAAAGACACAAAGAGAAAGGACATTGTTAAACCAAAGAGAGACTAGCCTTGCCCACTCTCTGATCTTGGATTCCCAGCTCCAGACTTCCAGAGCTGTGAACAGTTCAACCAGTGATGCTGCGGAACTGTTAGGGTGACTGATGAGAAGTTTACCATCTGCTGCAAGCTCCCTGAACACAGTCACCCAGCTGTGTTCACTTTGGTGGTCCCAGAGCCTGGCACAGGGATGACACAGTGGGGACTTAAAAAGCACTGCAGAGTAGATAGAGAATCGGCACCATGTTTTAGTTGAGTGGTGTGCCCAGCTGTTACAGCTGGCTATACAAGAGAGTAGTCCTTCTCTCTGCTGTGGGCCTACCTGTTGCTTCCTAGTCCCATAAAGAGGAGAGAGAGAGAGAGAGAGAGAGAGAGAGAGAGAGAGAGAGAGAGAGAGAGAGAGAGCGAGAGAGAGAGAGAGCGAGAGAGCTGTCTTCCTTTGTGAGAGGGGAATGTTATCTGTGGCCTCTGGGTCTCCTAGCCTTACCTGAGGTGTGGCCACTGAGCCCTATTTTCTGGCCTGAATCAGGGCTGATTTAGACAAAAAAAAATTACAGAGAGCTATATGAATTCTGTGTGCTATCAGAGATGGGTCCCTGTAAATACTTCAACTTTGTTCAGCTGAAAATTGTCATAATACAAAGTATGTGGGGGTAAAAGTCTGAGGATCATAATGCATTACTTACTACAACCAGACCCCTCAGTGCCTCAGGTGCCATAAGCAACTATGCATAAGCCCTGCCTGTAACCTGTGTACTACCTGTTCAACCTCCCAGTATACTCCGGGCAATGACCTCCAGCCCATGTATACTTAGCACTTCACCACAGACATGCAGCCCTCACACACCCAGCAACGACCCCCCCACACTCTCAGATCTCTCCCACTCAGAACCCTCAGACCTGTAGCCCTCAAACACTCCCACTTTACACTTGCATCAACTCCCATACCAGTGTACCCCCACTTTAGATGGTCACCCCTCCCACACCTTGCATATCCCAGCTCAGTCCTGTGCATTTGTCTCGCACTGTCTATATATATTTAAAAGCTCATAACAGCCTCCATCCCTCTAGTACCAAACAGTTGGCTTCAATAAAATGCAGTTCGTATAAATACACACATGACCTAAGGGATGACTACATGAAAGAAACAGAGGTTCCACTTCCAGAAGCAGGTGTACACTCTGACTCAGCCATGCACATGGCCCTAGGCCTATGATCTCTACAATTTGCTTGAACCTACTGGGGACCATGGTACTGTGCCAGCTCTGCCAGGCTTTCCCTTCCTTCCTCCTCTGAGCTTTCTGTAAGATCAATACCTACTTCACAAGGAAGCTGAGGTATGTCTAAAACAGTAAACAGTGGGATAATATTCAACCGTGCCTGACCTTGCCTCATCCAGACCCTCTCAGGGCTCATGCTGGCTTCTTAGCCAGAAGCTAAGACTCGCGAGCAATGCTGTCCTGACTGTGTGCAGGCCTGCCACCTCTCCCACACTCTGCACAGATGCAATTGCACTCACCAGGAATGTGGATCTTGAACTTGCCACTCTGGCCGAAGGCACTATCGATGATGCCCTGCTCCCCTGTGGACAGCTGCACCTTAAGCCCCACAAAGAGCTGGATGTTGGTCTCCTTTTTGAACAGGGAGCGTCCAATCACACTGTAGTCATCCATTACCTGTCCCCACATAGAAGAGGAGGCATTAGTAGTGCATGCAGAGAACTGGTTCTGGGGTGGTAAAGTGTTGTGCCCACCTGTTTATTCTGTTTACATCATTATGTATGAGGTGGGCACAACCTGGCTGTATTTGTACCTAGCCTGCCAGAATCTTGTCAATAAGAGCTTCATCACAGCTGGAAGTGAGACCTCTCCTCTACCTGGCTGGTTTTGTCCTCTTCAACCCACTCTGCAGATGCTGTACTCAGCCTCTAAGTCAGACCCTACTATAAGAAGTGTTCCTCATTCTGGCAACTGCTATAGAAAATGCATTCAGAGACCTCTCAGTCATGCACCCTGCTTCTAGGAAAATGTCCTTTAGATATGCCTATCCAGGTGGGAAATGACAGCATACAGGCTACTCACTACTAGTGTCCAGTAACACAGGCCTTGGATCAATCCAAGTCCCAGCCTACATGCAGAAAAATGGTGTCACTGGCCACACTGACCACAAAGAGGAAAAGGTATGAAGGACACAGGGCCCTGAGTTGGCATCAGCAAAGCTGTGTGCAGTAGGGGGTACATGGAATCAGAAGAAGCTGTGCCTCAGCAGGAGGGCATGGAGTGCCTGAATTTTCCACTATATATCTTTCCTACATTCTGATCTTTGAAATGAATGAATTATCTGCTCAAAATTAAAATTAAAAATTAAGCTAGGTGGTGGTGTTACATGCCTTTAATCTCACCATGGGAGGCAGAGGCAGGCAGATCCCTGTGAATTTGAGGCCAGTATGGTCTACAGAGCAAATTCTGGACAGTCAGGGCTACACGAGGAAACCGTGTCTTCGTGTCTTGAATATGCACCCCCAAAAACCAAACCCAAACCAAAACAAAGAAACAAAAAATTAAAATAAACAGGTAATTATATGTCTTCCACTCTAAGCAGGCACACCTATTCTTTCTTGATAGCCACAAGTAGAATAGAGTCTCTTCCAGTCACTTCGAGTGGCTGGTTCCTTCTGAGGTATATGCCCTGGGTCATTGGAGTGTCTCCTGCTAAGATGCAAAAACATCTCACTGCTACTAAAGATGCCTGGATCTGGCCAAGTATCCTAGATGGATTGTTTTGAAAAGTAGAAACTGTCTCATTTACCCTAAAAACCTTTGGAAAAAGCATATCCTATTCTCCTTGATTCATAGCAGTAGATAAAAGGGACCGCATTCCTTCTTTCCTGGTGATTGATGAATTGGATACAAACAATGATAAGAATTACAGTCTCCACTTGTGCAGCCCTCTGTAACTCACAAGCCTCTTTCCCACACAGCAACTCCTCCTTTCCCTCCGAGATAGCTCCAGCAAGCTCCCCCAGGGAAGCCCCTGCTCTTAAGGGTGGGTCTACCTACTTGGTCCTCTGAGCCAGCAGTGCTAGCCTTCTGATCATTGGAATCCAGGAAGTTCCACTGATCAGGCTTTAGGAAAGCTGCGCCTAGCCAGGTAGTGGTGGCACACACTTTTAATTTCAGCACTTGGGAGGCAGAGGCAAGTGGATCTCTGAGTTTGAGGCCAGCCTGGTCTACAAAAAGAGTTCCAGGACAGTCAGAACTGTTACACAGAGACTTCATCCTACCTAAGGAGTCAGACTGGAGGAGCAGCACACAGGGCTCTGGCCCAGGCCTGCCAGACCCTTTGCAAAGTCTATGTTGAAACACAGACCAGCAGCCGGCATGATATAGTGACCAGGATGCTGACGCTCACTGGGACGGATACACCCGAGACTCAGATCCCTCCAGCATTACTTTGTCCAAGAAATAAGAAAGGTAGTTCTTGGACCAAGAGCTCATAGCTACTTTGAAAGCATCTTTTAAAAAGCATCAACAGTAGGGCATGGTGGCATGTGCCTGTGATTCCAGCTCTCAGGAAGACTGAGACAGAAAGATAATCATGTGTTCAAAGGGAATGTGGGGTGTTTAGAAAGTTCAAGGTCAGTCCAGGCTATATATTACTAGTCAGACCCTGTCTTTAAAAAATTAAAAGTTTGGCTAGGCAGTGGTATCACACGTTTTTAATCCCAGCACTCAGGAGGCTAAGGCAGGTGAATCTCTGTGAGTTCAAGGCCAGTCTGGTTCACAGAGCAAGTTCCAGGACAGCCAGAGGTACATAGTGAGACCCTGATTCAGGAAACAAACAAACCACCCCCAAAAGTTCATTACTGAGACCAAACCAATAACAAATTCATCCCATAAGCACCTGCATTATTCCCAACTACCTATACTGCAACATCAAGGTGCATGACCAGCCAGAATATTCTTAGATGAGATAATCTCAGACCTCAGTGACCCTACCGCCTCCCCCAAGCCCTTCTGTCATGCCTCTATTACCCTCTTCTTCTGTTCACTGGGGATTCCTTCCTATCAAGCAGGTTCCACTCTGCATCCTGTTTCAGGTAGCCTTTCCTACTCTCAGGGGGAAGGTAGAATCCCTGGTTCTGAGTTTGGCTACCCTGTCTGAAAACCTGATAGCTTGTCCATTTAAACCTGTAAAAGATTAAAAGTTCTTCAAGGAAAGGGGTTCTTTTCTATATACTCCACACCTCACAGAGCTCGGGACACGTGTTTAGAGATGATGGGGAAAGCACAAGCATCCACATATGGAACTGAGGGGGGAAGGAGAGGTGGGAAGCTGGGTGGTTCTTTACTTCTCAGGGACAAAACCTTATCATTCATGTGATACATTCAGGGGAGACAGGACTTGTCTACAAGAGGGCCTACTGCCAACACTGGAAAAATGGTCCTCTTTGTCCCCTGCCCCCACACAGGTGTTTTTTTTTTTTTTTTTTTTTTTTTTTTTTTTTTTTTTTTTTTTTTTGTAGTTCTGGCTCTCCTAAAACTCACTCTGTAGACCATACTGGCCTTGAGCTCAAGAGATTTTCCTGCCTCTGCCTCCCAAGTGCTGGGATTAAAGGGATGTGCCTCTCCCTCCTCCGGCTATTTTTTTTTTAAGTAATATAAATCCTCTTCAGAAGACAGTAGGGCTGATTTCAGTCCAGATCCTGCCTACTCAGCTCTGTAGCTTGGTGGCTAGGGCTAGCTGTCCAGTGAGCCTGCAGGCCTGGCTTCCTGTACATAGAGCTGGGTGGCATGCTATCTATTAGCAAAGACCTTTAGAAGGTTCCTTACTGACCCTTCTCTCTCATCTTTTGGCTATAAAATATTATTCGCCAAATGCCACAAAAACAATGGAGTTTTCCTCTTTTCATAAACCAGGTCCTTGCCAAGGGGCCAAGTAATTCTGTTAATATCAGAAGAATGTCAAAAAGCTTCAGAGTTTTCATGCCACAGAAGTCCCTGAAGTTAGTTTTAGTGCTTCTTAACCAAGGCGGAGGGTGATGGTCTAGGGCTCCACATTCGTTAAGCTCTCGACTAGCTAACTAGTGATTGGTGGGCTATCAGTCCTGTAAGGCTGGTGCTGCAGTGTGGGAAGCCCTGTTCACGGACCTACATTATCACAGTGTTTTTGTTTGTCTTTCAGACAGGGTCTCTCTCTGTAGCCCTGGCTGTCCTGGAGCTCACTATAGAGCAGGCTGGCCTTAAATTCAGAGATTCCCCTTTGCCTCCTGAGTGCTGGTATTAAAGACATGTGACACCACGCCCAGCACCACAGTGTTGTTTTAAGAATCCAGGTAAAGGTGTGGGACTAGTGGGCCCTCTGTGGCTTCACCAGAGGCTACAGGGGCTCCATCTTGCTGGCTGGCCTCAGTTCTGCTATGGCAAGAGTGGCAGCTAAATCCAAAAGAAGTGTGTCTGTCATTCCTGGTTTCTTGTTTTATGGCCTGGTCAGGAGACATACTAGCACCAAGTAGGTTCATTGTGTCCTCTATTAACTTCTGAGTCTTCATTCCCAAGTGTAGGTTAAGTCCAGGAAGGGTGGAGACTGAGATCAACCCCCAGGTTCCTGTGCATTCCCTGGACACTGGTGGCCATGCCTGCTTACAGCTCTTACTATCACTTAACATAACTGAGTGAGTGGTCATAAAAGACTTTACACAAAAGACTGAGCGATCTTTGCATTGTGTCCGCCTGACATAGGAGACTGAGGGTGACCTAGGGTGGCACTATGAGTATGGTTACTCCTGAGGACAGTGCTGAAGAGCAGAGGAAGCCATCAAGTCCATTTCACCACAGACTGTCAGGTGGGTGCTTCTCATGCTGCTCAGAGCCCAAGTGGGCGTTGTCCTGTCTACTCTTCACAAGACCCAAGGGGCAGCGGTCAGGTGAATGAGTCCAGCATGGTTTTCTCTGATGTCTTGGACCTATGTTAACTGTCTGACTCAGTGGTGCTGGAAGCCTAGCCCAGGGGTACTGAGGAGCCTCAACCCTGCTTGCCCCAGCTCAGGGAAAACCCTGCCAGTAGAGGAGATGGTCCCTATCTATTGTCAGGGACTCTACTTTCCACAAGGTGGTCTAGAGGCAGGAGCCAGGGACGGAAGGTGGAACTAGCAATGTAATGGGACCTGGAGACTAGCACCCTTTCACGCTGCCCTGTCTAGCTGCCCATGGTATGGCATTCAACTCAGAACACATCAAAAAAGTCCAGTGGTCCAACTCACAGACTTCTGCAGTGAGAGGAGACCACAGAGAGCAGACACCAGTACACAAGGAAAGCACTGCCAGAGCAGTTGGAGGGCCTGAATTCCGAATCAATCACCAATGTCAAACTGAAGGCAATGCCTGTGGGGTTTGCTGGTGGCCTTGTTCCTGGGGACAATGCTGAACACAGGCCAGCGGTCACAATAGCTCAAGTGAGGACTTTCACTGCTTGCTTAAGTAATTTGCTTCATCTACCCGCCCGTGGTTGCTGAGGGATCAAGCTCCCTCAGCAGTTACAGCTGTGTATCCAAGTCCAGGCTCTTGCTGCCATGCCAGGCGAGTCCCCATTGTCCCCAGCTTTTGAGCAGGGACTTGGCTGCTGGTGCACATAATTATGTCATTACATGTGTCTCTCTTCCAGGGCTTGGTTCCCA